TTTTTCCTGCCTGGGCAGGGAAAGATGAGTGATGTGTGTGGGCAGTGGGAGGCTGGAGACGACTCGTGGCCAAAGCCACTTATGTTTCTATTTGTGGAGAGTGCAGGGAGGCTTGCAGGTGCTAGAGATACCTACTTTGGGTTTGTCACCTCAAGCAGTGTTTAGCTGCCTGTGTGCTGGCAGCCAGGTCTTTCTCTTAGGTTTGACCCATTTACGCCCAGTTTTTTAGGAGCTGCTCTGCTGATCCCTGCCCTTAGCACAGCCTCTGCACCCGCTCAGCAACGCTGACTCTGTCCTCCGGCCTCTGCCCACACCAGGGATGTTTCTCACGGCCTGGATTGTGTGGCTGTCACGTGGATGTTGTGTACCCTGGGCACGTGAGGTTGAGGGCCAGGGAAACCTGTTTTGGGAGCCTCTAATCAGACGTGATTTTCCCACAGTGCTACCGTGGGATAAGAGGCGGCTTTGCAGGTCACTGCAGCCAGACACGTGGGTACCCTGTGTTTGTCTGTCCTGATGAAAAATGACACAGCCTTGGCTTGAAGGGCTTTGGGAAAGGAGCTGCTGCTCTAATCCCCCCCATACAGGGGTTCATGGGGCTAGAGGGAGCATCTCCATCAGGGAATTAGTCGCCAGGGAGCTACACCCCAGCCTGCTACCCGCCCACACCCACTTCAGCCCCATCCCACATCCCAAGAGACAAGATCCCCTCCAGCACAGGCCCCTCACCCCATGGGGACTCCCCAGGGATCCCCCTCCCTGCCAAAGCCCCAAGGCGAATGACTGCCTGGCCGCAGGGTGGCCCGTGGTGATGGATTGAGGCCCCTTGTCTGCCTGCAGCAAGCTGGACTTGTGTTTTTGCAGGGTGCTGGGCAAACACAGAGGACTGGGGGGCCTGGGTGCTCTCGGGGGGGACAGGAAGGAGACACTAAGGGGGGTGGATCCCTGCTGAGGCATTAAGGGCCATAGCATGGCCAGTGAAGCAGCACTGGGGCGGGGGAAGGC